GAAACTATTGCTTAAAATAAAAATTTATAAATAACCCATTTTACTTTTTTGAAAACTTTTTTGCTAAATTTTAACTTGCAAATTTTGTGCAAATATTCAGTGTATATATATATTCAGTGTATACGATATTTAAACCACACGTATATAAATAATAAGCCTATACAATGTTTAAAACATATATGAACAAAACATATCATCATATTTAAATGAACATATAATGTAACAGGCATCGAGTTTGCAATGAGTTTTTTTTAAATATGTTGTCATTTGCTTTATAATAGTCATTTCTATATAACACAAAGCCCTTTTTAAAAATAAAGAATATTAGTTGACTGAAATTTTGTGATTTATATTATATCATTTCGAATCGTTATTATGAATTTGGCATGTTTGAAATTTGTCCAAAAATTTTGAATTCGATCGAATTCGAAAAGTGGAAGTCAAATCAAATGATACGCTGAATCAAATGATCAAGTTCGATGTTCAATGCGAAAGCAGTACTTACATTTGTCACAGATAGCGCCACCAGAACTGTGTATGATGCCGTAGCAATAATGAATCCTCATTGAATAAAAGAAATATGAGAAATTGTGAGATCACTTGAGCGGGATGGACGTGTGTCTCGCCTCGCTTTGTTGCACCATCTCACCCATTTTTTGAAAAGCGTTTCCGGCTTCGATTGTGCATTGCTATATATTATTTGTCTTAATTACATCATTATTTCGTCTCATTCACTAGTTTTCACGATTTATTTACGATTCTGGACGAATTTACCGTTATTTTTGCGGCGAGTGCCATTAATTTTGAAGAAGAAGAAGAAGAATAAAAGAAATAATACGTACGGATTAAATCAGATTAATGAAAAAAGAAAGTTAAGAAAAAAATCTGCTACAATCTGTTGAAAGATTAAATGGCATTAATAGCTGTTTCCACCATATGATAAACTGCAATCGTTAGTTTAAAAACATCGGTTAATCAATGCAATTATGATTTAAGGGTTGGGTTATACAATATCAATTGAAAATATTAACCAAAAAAATTAAAATCAAACAATTATTCAAAAACTTTTGATGATATTAGCCCATGAATATGATCTGAAACTAACTGCAAAAAAGGAAACAACAAATAATTTGGCTATATATATAATGATTATATTATATATATGTATAATTAATGATTATATATGTGTATGTATAACTAATGGTTATATACGTATATATACATAGCAAAATGACAAGATTTTGCAACAATTTATGTATAAAATTTAACTTAATTCTTAATTATAATTCAAGTTTGGTCCGATGAGAATAAATTTCATGTAAAAAAAATATTATTTTCGTTTAAAGAGGATTTTAGTGTTTAAATATTTCGATGTGATTATATACAATACATATACATATAATTGTAGCAAACCGCGTTCAAATCATTATGTGTCGAATTCTTGATGTTGCTACCTCATCAAATTTGCAAATAAGTATTACAAGAAACCATTTTGCTTTATAAAATCAAGAAAAAAATTTAATAATTTTTAAACCAATAAGAGAACTGTTCAAATTTTACGGAGATATAATAATAAAACAATCATATAAAATTTTTATATTTTTGATATTGTGTTTAGATGTGATACATACATCCTTAATTTTATTTTTCTTTATTTATCACGATAATTTAGTAAATTTTCCATGTCAGGCGAAATTTCGATCACTGCTGAATTAATGAAGCAAATGTCTCGTTTGCGCTCGCGACGCAATTCATGTCACAGTAAAAGTGTGACAGAAAGGCGCACAAGAAGAATTAGTTACCTACTATTTACAGTATCGACTAGAAAATTTCCGCTTATGTGTGGATCAGATTGAATCTTCCGTTACAGAGAATCGTATATGATTATAGCAAGATGGAGATTACATTGGTGCTCAACTTGCCAGGCATTTAAACTGACCTTGAAGTCAAGTTACATTACGATTTCTCTTGAAGTATGACGAATTTAGTACAATTTTCTTTACAACGATATCTGGAATTAAAATGTGTGTAAATAGTGAAATTTTTAAGTCTAAACATTATTGATATCGAAAATAATTGTACAATAAACTTATAACCTCGTGACTCAAGATTAGATATGATTTTAATATTAAATAAACGGATCTCTAAATTGAATAATGGCATTTAGAGCGCTGATTGCAGGCTATAAATAAATTCTCAAGATGAATCTCTAATATATGCCATTCTACGCATATATATTGCGACACAAAAGCGCTCGTAGTTTCTCAAATTAATAGTAAGCCAAAACATTTTATTATTGCCTCGTGTCGCAAGAATATTAGTAGAAAAAAGCAAAACATGCTTACAAATACAACATGCCTGACTGTTTATCGACTGGTTCATCGACATTTTATCGTTTATTTTTAGCCGATTATTAAAATAAGGTTAGATAATTGTCGGTTTAATTGACATAAAGTTGACATTAGCTGACTGATAATTGATTATATTATAGTTGGGACATTTGTCGTCTTTTAGTTAATTAAAAGTTGATATTTAGTCTAATTTAAATCGAGGATGCGTATTATGAAATTATTTATAATAAATTCCGATTGCGGAATAAGTATTATTGTTTCTTAGATTTTTATTGTGTTTTCTAAAAGAATGAAATAATTCCGATTAAAATTTATTCCGAAAAATTCCATAATACATAAAAGTATTAGACTGAAGATACAGTAGGAAGATTATAAGGAATATAATAGAAAGAATGAAGAATACCCGATAAAAAATTGCTCATGCATGAATATGAATAAATATTTACAAATCATGTTCATCCATTCTTCTTTTTTGTAAAATTACTTTTTAGTGTAATAGAAATATTAGTAGTAATGTAAAAATATTAAAAATAATTAAAAAATTAATTTTTACACTATTTGTTTTTAAAAAAATCAAGTTTGAAAAAAATGTAAAAAAATTCCTTATGTATAATTATGTACAAAATTATGTATAATTGTATATGAGCAATTTTTTTTATATTTCTTCAAACTTGTTTTTTTTTTCTAAAACAAATATTGCAAAAATTATCCCTTTAATTATTTTTTATGTTTTCACATTACTATTATTACACCAAAAAGTAATTTTACAAAAAAAAGAGGAATGAATGAACATGTATGGATACATTTCATATATAATTGACAATCATATATGATAATCATTGATTATATATATTTATAAATGTTTAATTATAATATTTATAAATGTTTATATATATTTATAAATGTTTATATATGTTTATACATATTTATACACAT